TTCCCTAACACACAAGTAAAAAACATTTGTTAATTTAATAAAAGTACACTTGAAAATAGACACTTTTATTTTTCTTCATGACACTTGTCAACATATAACATAATGAATATTTTATTTCATTCAGAATGTAAATTGCGTAAAGACAGACGTGTTTGCTTTGTTCACCTTTGTATCCCCAGTTCTTGAACACTGCCTAGATTAAAGGGATGCTTATGAGCTGAGGGAAGGAAGGAAGAAAGGAAAGAAGGGAGGGAGGGAGGGAGGGGGTCGGGGAGAAAGAAAGGAATGACGGAAGGAAGGAAGGAAGGAAGGAAGGAAGGAAGGAAGGAAGGAAGGAAGGGTCGGGGAGAAAGAAAGGAATGACGGAAGGAAGGAAGGAAGGAAGGAAAGAAGGCAGGAAGGCAGGAAGGAAGGCAGGCAAAGCACAACTTACATAATTCGTATTCTATTATCTTCTTGGGTGTTAATCAAAGGCTCAGATAAAAGTCAAACTTATATTGGCTATATTATCTGTATTTCAATTATAATTAATTTACATTTTCAATTAATTGTGCAATATATGAGGCAAGTATGATGCTTATAGTTAAAGATGTTTGTGAGATCTTTAACACAACTATTAAAAAACACAACTATAAAAAAAGTTGAAGATGACTATAAAAACACCTTAAATTATTTGTTGTATATTTAACCTTTGTGATGTGTTTACGTGTAGCACATCAACACCAGGAGCACCAGTAGCGTCTTCATATGATGATAGTCACACAGTTTAATAGGGCCATTGTCCTTCTTGTCACCCAGAGCCAAGCTTCAGAATTTGCTTTCATATCTCTTTTGTGAGTCTTCCCAAACCCAGGAGTCACCAAGTTTGGTTGATTATCTTGCTATTGAAAACATTATTTATCCATTCATTTGGGAGTTAACATTAGTTTCTCTAAACTCCCCATAGAATTAATCTTACCATCTTTCCCACTATGTTTATAACTTTAAGTTATTTTACCTTATATATTAGCTGGATATGTTCACATATGTTTTTTTCTACAAGATTGTTGTTCTTTTGGTTGTTGCTGGTGGTGCTGATGGTGGTGTGTGTGTGTGTTAGCTAGACATTATATATCCTCTAATGTAAAACAGGCACTTATTCAATGTTCATTAAGTTGAGTTTATACTTCATTTTTCGGTCAGAAAACTTCCATTAAGTGTTTTATCATAGTGTTAGTTTTGCATACACCATAAATTATTTCCTGAAACCTCTCAAGGAGATATTTGGACACCTATCTGTTACTAGAGGTGGAAGCTTATGTCAATATCCTGCAACATGTTTTATCATTTGATTTGAAATCTTGACATTTTATTTCTATTTTTATTTCCCTAGCAGGTTTAATCAGAGGAGGTAATGATATATGTGACTGAATTCAGAATTGAGTTACATGGATGACTACAGAATTAATGACTTAATGGGGTAGTCCTAAAAAAGCAAAGGCTTTTCTATTTAAAGTTTCTAATTTTTGACCTCATGAAGTTTTCTGTTTTATTATTCCAAAGGCATTTTTTAAAAATTCCCGTGTTATTAAAACATACATTCTAATGTCAGAACAGATTCTCTATTCAAAAATGAAAGTGGCACATCTTTATCTTTCTTTTACATATACAATCCCAATTAAAATTAAAGTCAATATATATTTTCCCTGCAAATCAAGACAAGTTTCTTCTTCACTTTTTTTGGTTAGTCTTGGATTCTATTTTTATTGCACTGTGGTCCAAGAGAATGGTTGTTTTGATTTCAGTTCTTTTGCATTTTCTGAGAGGTGTTTTATGTCTGATTAAGTGTTGATTTTAGAATATGTGCTATGTGACAATGAGAAAAAATTTATATATATGTGTGTGTATATATATCCACATATATACAGTGGAAAGTTCTGTAGATGTCTATCAGGTTCATTTGATCTTTGGGGGTTTTTGCCTTAATGATCTAATACCGTCAGGTGTTGAAATCTCCCATTATTATTGTGCAGAACTGTAAGTCTCTTTGAATATCTCTAAGAACTTGCTTTATAAATTTGGATGTTCCTGTGTAAAGTGCATATATATTTAGGATAGTTAGGTCTTTTTATTATTATTATACTTTAAGTTTTGGGGTACATTTGCAGAACGTGCAGTTTTGTTACATAGGGATACACATGCCATGTAGCATATATACCTAGGTATATATATGTATACCTATGTCCTATTACATAGGACAAATAATGTTTTCAGCATACATACAAATACACATGGCGGTTTGCTGCACCCATCAACCCGTCATCTACATTAGGTGTTTCTCCTAATGCTGTCCCTCCCCTAGCCCCCCACCCCCTGACAGGTCCCAGTGTGTGATGTTCCCCTCCCTGTAGCCATATGTTCTCATTGTTCAACTAGCACTTATGAGTGAGAACATGTGGTGTTCGATTTTCTTTTCCTTTGTTAGTTTGCTGAGAATGATGGTTTCCAGCTTCATCCATGTCCCTTCAAGAAACACGAACTCATCCTTTTTTATGGCTGCGCAGTATTCCATAGTGTATATGTACCACATTTTCTTTATCCAGTCTGTGATTGATGGGCATTTGGATTGGTTCCAAGTTTTTGCTATTGTGAATAGTGCTGCAACAAACATATGTGTGTATGTGTCTTTATAGTAGAATGATTTATAATCCTTTGGGTAATTACTCAGTAATGGAATTGCTAGATCAAATGGTATTTCTGGTTCTAGATCCTTGAGGAATCGCCACACTGTCTTTCACAATGGTTGAACTAATTTACACTCCACCAACAGTGTAAAAGTGTTCCTATTTCTCCACATCCTCTCCAGCGTCTGTTGTTTCCTTACTTTTTAATGATCGCCATTAAACTGGGGTGAGATGGTATCTTATTGTGGTTTTGATTTGCATTTTTCTAAAGACCAGTGATAATGACCTTTTTTTCTTCTTCACTTTTTAATCAGCTTGAAGTGAATGCCTTGGTAATTTTCCTACTAATGGTGCCAAACCTAACAGTTTTAAAGACCTTCCTGTTGACCACAGTGTGCTCTTGGTTCTTGTAGGCAGGGAGCTGGCTTAGGACCTACATAGCATATTTGGAAGAATGGCTTCTGGTTAAGTGTTAGAATTTGTGTGGCTGAGAGAAAAAAATGTGATATTTGCCCTTTACGTGAATTAAGTATTTTACCTGCAAAGTTCTGCAGTTGCTTGTCTTTTATAAAATATTTTTCTTATAAGTAATGCTACTTAAAATGCTAAACTTATTCCTTGTGAAAGTCTGTTCTATTATGATACACAAATTGTAGATAGCTTTTATTGAATTAACATTTGACATTTTCCTCCACAGATTTTTCTTTAAAATATTTACTCTCCCTAATAATGCCATGTAAAATTTATTTTTAGGGAGATAGTTCCTACGTGAAAGATCGCTGGTGTGTTTTTGATGGATTTATGGTCTTTTGCCTTTGGGTTTCTTTGGTGCTACAGGTAATTAAATATTTTTTTAATTACAAGGGGGTGTTCTCCCAAATGGGAATTATTTTGTATTAGAAGTCTAAATAGAAATATTACAAAATATATATCAAATGTGATTGTGTAACTGCCTACAGCATTATGTTTATTTTTCTTTTAACTGATGTGATTAATCTGTTTACTGTGACATATTTGAAATTTGAAAAATTAATTTTAATGGATACATAATACTTGTATGTATTTATGGGGAACTGAGTGATATTTGATGTATGCAAGGTGTAATGATCAAATCTGCATAATTAGCATTTATATCCCCTCAAACGTTTTATTGTTAGAAAAGTCAATAGCTATAATATCTTAACTATTGTCAGTTACATTTGTGAATTATTTCTCAATCAGAAATGAAAATCAATACTATAGGAAATTGTTAACTATTAATCAGATATGTATATTCCCTGAAATGAAGGAAACAATGTGGAGTCTTATTTCTGTATTTGTAAATAAAAAATAGAACTTAAAAATTTAAAGTCTAGTCTTCTCATATTTTGATGGGTATTAGCCAACATAAAATGCTATATTGCAAATATTAAATGCTTTATTATAAGAGATGGGGAACATACATTAAGAAGACTTACAGGAGAGATTTGATTGGAAAATAAGTAGAATTAATTTCCGTGCATTCATTCAGACATGATTTTGCCTTTTAATTCAACTAAAGTTATTATATTCTTTTGATTTTATTTGATCTGTTTTGATTTGATTGTGGTAAGAACGCCTAACATAAGATCTACTGTTTTAACGAATTTTAATTGTACAATAAATTATTGTTAACTATAGGTACAATGTTGTACAGGTCTCTAGAGTTTATTCATCTATTCTTTATTTAAAAATTCAAAATTCAAAACTTCACAGCCCGTTCTACCAACTCATCATAGTGTTTGTTGATAAGCTTTCCTTTCTTAGTTTTATAAAGTTCATCTCTCCCACAATTTAATTTCATCACTCATATATTTTTTAATCAGCTTTCTCAGGTTGAATCGTTTCTCATATTAATATGTCCTTTTCCATTTAATAACTATTGTGTGATTGACAAACATTTCTAATTATTATTTTGCCTCTGTTAGTAAATAGTGTTTCATAATTTTAACCCTTTCTCTATTACTTTATTTTCTAGATATTCAAAAGCCTCCACCAAAGAACAATATTAATGACAAAGACAACATACTTATTTTATATTCTAAGTTGGCACTTCTTGTAATTAAAAACTATCTTAATGAATGAGACAGGAAATGAACAAGATTAATGATGTTCTCATTAGTTTATGTATTTGTTTCTGTTAAGATAGCTATAGATTCAAAATATACTCAAAAGAAAGTGGATTTTGGTGGAAAATAATGTAGGGCTAAATTCAGAATAGAGATGCACCTACTTATGCTGCTAACATCTGTATACTCCATGAGTATGAGCAATGCTAGGGGAAAATCCAACCTCATTTACCCATCTTTTAATTTGTAGGTGTTTGAAATTGCTGATATAGTTGATCAGATGTCACCTTGGGGCATGTTGAGGATTCCACGGCCACTGATTATGATCCGAGCATTCCGAATTTATTTCCGATTTGAACTGCCAAGGACCAGAATTACAAATATTTTAAAGTGAGTACTGCTTTACAATAAGTTAAGAGGAAAAGTTTATGAAGTTTTTTTGTAAGTTTTATGTACTTTACCTGCTTCTTTTTTTCCCTAGGCGATCAGGAGAACAAATATGGAGTGTTTCCATTTTCCTACTTTTCTTTCTACTTCTTTATGGAATTTTAGGAGTTCAGATGTTTGGAACATTTACTTATCACTGTGTAGTAAATGACACAAAACCGGGGTAAGTTTATCTGTTAATTACATTTTAATCTGGTTGATTAACAAAACTATCTCTGTAATTTTCATGAGAATAACCTCTGTGTCAGATTTTTCAAACAGTGTTTATGTCCTCTTTGTCCTGTGTCTCTGCTTCCTCAGTATTGTTTTGTCCAATTTTTATTTTATTTTATTTTATTTTTGAGATGGAGTCTCGCTCGGTCGCGAGGCTGGAGTGCAGTGGTGCGATCTCAGCTCACTGCAACCTCCACGTCCCAGGTTCAAGCGTTTCGCCTGCCTCAGCCTCCCGAGTAGCTGGGACTACAGGCATGCACCACCATGCCTGGCTAATTTCTGTTTTGTCCAATTTTTAAAGACAAGTATTCAAAACAAGACAGATTGGAAAATGTAAGCTGGTGGGAAAGTAGATTAAGCAAATGCAAAGTATACATTTAGAAACCTTTCTCAGTGTGGCAAAATGGGGAATGTGCTAACATAATAACAGAAACCTAAAGCTTCACTGAGGAAGTTTTTCATATTAGAGTGAGTTACATGTTAGGAAAAAAACCTCATTTTTATTATTATTATCTTTGGTCATCATTCCCTAAAATAGTTTCCTAAATGATTATAACATCGTTTCTAGACAAAACACTATATACTATCTGTTGCGTTTGTCTGTTGTAGGGTTGGTGGGTAAGATAGAATGTATGTACTTCAATTACCTATTATGTATTATTCAATAGGGCACCTGCCTCTTCTACTTGGCTGATCATTGTAAATATACAACTCCAGGGATGTGATGGCAGGAGAGAGCAGAGTGGGATGTTGGCCCCTGGATGGTCCAGAAGTGTCCCATTAGGTGTTGGCTAGATATAGAGTTTGGGGTTCCAAGCACAACCCGGAAGTGCAACAGATATGACTCTGCCAGATTTCAGGGCAGCAGGGATTGGGGATAATACAACTGATTTTACACCTCGTATTCAAATCTTCACATGGAAATTTGTCTATTTATAAATGAAGAACTCATCCATAAATTACCAATTGAAAAATCTTGATTCAAATCCTAGAAATTAGATTTAAAGCACTTTATAAAATTCAAAAAGAGATTACAAGCAGCCATTCCTCTTCAAAATATTTTTAATGTATCAATATCTACTTACAAACCAATTGGGTATATAAGGATCATTGAGTTTTAAAATATTGAAAGGGTTATGTTGTGTTTTCTGCACTTGGAGCATTTTTTTAATAAAGTCTATGTGTGTGTATATATATATATACACAAAGTAGATAAACCACAAATAAGTGAATATCTCTGTGAGTATAGACATCATGATAAGCTTGACTCAATTCCAACACTTTATTGTATGAGTTTGCATAAATTATTTAGGTTATTCCTCAGTGAAGTGCATTAACAACAGGACATACTTTCTAGAGGTGTCAGGAAGAGTGAATGAGGGAATGAATGTAAAGACAAGCAAAGTGACCAGCACATAGTAAAGGCATTCACTGTATGCTAGCCGTCATTACTTTGTTGTCATAAAGAAATATGTAAACACGCTTACATGCTGAGGTGGTAGGTATAAGTGTATCCTCCAAAAGAGAGATAACATGTTTAAAAAAAAAAAAAAAAAAGGAAAGAGCAATAAAGAAGACCAAAATTTGCACTTGTAAGAATGTGAAAGGAAAACATCTATGACTAATTCATGGCTACGTTATTTTACTGACAAAGTAACTAAATTAATTCTGAGTTTATTTCACATTTATAATGGTCATTTAATTATTAGTCTCTCCCAGAAATAGGTTTAATAATTGAATTTCTAATTCATGCACAAATAGTATATGTATATTGTGCAACTCCTAATAATTACATAATGTACTAAAAACTGAAAGTGTGTTTAATTGCTTGCTGTTGCACCACCCCAAAGAATGTCAACTCCAAAAGGGTAGAGATTTTGTCTCCACATGTTTTTAGACCAGGAGGCATGTGCAAGTTTCTAAGAAAATAGGAATGAATGCAGTAACTTCAAAAACATCAGTATAATTTCACTGGTTAAATGTTAAACAGTAAAGCATTACCTATTAGTCAAGGCCTTATTTTATTTCATTTTATTTTTATTTAGAAGGTATATGCATGCATCTCATACCTACTTAGAAATTTACCTTAGGGGGCCGAGCACAGTGGCTCACACCTGTAATCCCAGCACTTTGGAAGGCTGAGGCGGGTAGTTAACCTGAGGTCAGGAGTTCCAGACCAGCCTGACCAATATGGTGAAACCCCATGTCTACTAAAATTACAAAAATTAGCTGGACATGGTGGCGGGCACCTGTAATCCCAGCTACTCAGGAAGATGAGACAGGAGAATTGCTTGAACCCAGGAGGCGAAGATTGCAGTGAGCTGAGATCGCACCGCTGCACTCCCGCCTGTGCCACAGAGTGAGACTCTGTCTCGAAAAAAGAAAGAAAGAAACAAATTTACCTTAGGTTCACCTAAGTGTGGCCAGATACCATGCCTTCCTTGATTATCCATAGAATTATGTTGAAGTAAAGATCTCATTTTTTCTTGTTTTTTAATGTAATTTTTATTCTTGCATGATGTGAGTGAATAATCTACTCAAAATTATTTTTAAAAGAAAAATACTGTTGCTACTAACCCCACTCCCACTCTTCATTATTGTTGTTCAAAATAGCTTTGGAAAATAACTTTTGGATAACCATTTTCTGGACATATTATTATTTTCCCCTACTATTGAAATTATGTCTCTATCCACTTTATTGAGATTTTGGTGAATATAAAAATCTTTACATATTTATTATATATGTCTTGAGGGAACTATTTCCTTTTTCTGTCAGAATTAAATCCAGAGAGTAAGTTATTGCATTTATTATTCTACTTTCTGAAAATTATCATCCTTCTCAAATTAACTTGTGTATTTCTTATGAGGTACTCCCTGAAAATTATGATCCTTCTCAAATTAATTTGTGTGTTTCTTATGAGGTAAGGGTCAAGATGTAGTCTTAATTTAGTGGTTGGAATGGACATCAATGTCTTAGGAGAAGCTTTCAGTATTTCTGTTAAGTGGGATGTGAGCTGTAGAGTTTTCAAAGTGAGGAAGTTACCTTTAATTCCTATGGTGCTAAGAGATTTTAATCATTGATGTATGTATATTTTGTCCAGTGCTTTTCTCTTTTATTCTGTTAATGTACTGAATTACATGATGGATTTTTTAAATAGAAGCCAATCTTGCATTTCTGGTATATTGCTAATTTGGTCATATTGTATTCCTCTTTATGCCTTGTAAGATTTGATTTGCTAATGTTTTGTTACAAATTATTGCATCTTTGTTCACAAGGAGCATTATTTTTAGGCTTTTTTAATTGAAACATCTTTACCAGATTTTGAAATCTGGGTAATGCTGTCCTCATAAAACAAGCGGAACATGTTTCCAAAGGTTAATATAAGATTCATATTCTTTCTTTCTTAAACGTTTGATAGAATTCATGAGTAAAACTCAGGGCCTGAAATTTTCTTTGTGAGAACGGTTTTCATTACAAATTAAATGTATTCAACATACAGAGCTATGGCGTTGTTATCTTTCTTGTTCTGTTAAGTTGGTAAATTTTGCTTTTCAAAGATCTTACCTATTTTTATAGATTGTCAATATTGCATAATGTTTATACAAACGCCCTCTGGTTATCTTTTAAGCATGATTATCTTTTTAACATCTGTAGAATAGTGGTAATAAGTCATTTTTTTCCTGACATTGATAATTTGTATCTTTCTCCATTTTTTCATGTCTTCTCAATTGTATTAATCTTTTCACACACACACAAGAATCCTTGCCCTATTTAATGTTCTCTGTTGTTAGTCTGTTTTTCACATTGATTTTTTATCTTCATTATTTCCTTATTTCTGCTTTTAGTTTTTATTTTCTTTTTCATATTTCATAAAACGAAGGTATATAGGCATCTTTTAACATTTTCCTAATACAATAATTTAAAAATATAATTTTCCTCTAAGCATTGTTTTACCTGCATTTCCAAAATGTTAATATGTTGTATTTTTATTATTATTCAAGTGTCTTCTAATATCATACGTGATTTCTCTTTTGGCCCATAGGTTATTTAGAAGTGTATTTTTAGAAGAATGAGATTTTCTAAAAATGCTATTTGGGAGCATAAGTTTATTCTGTTGTGGTCAGACAATAGTCCCTGTGAAGTTTCAGCCTTTTGAAATTCATTAGGAATCATTTTAAGGAGCCTTATATGGTCTAAATTGGTGAAAATTCCACAAGAATTTGAAAAAAAGGAAGTTAATTCTGCAGTTTTTGAGTATAATGTCTATAAATGTCACTGAAGTCAAGTTGGCTGATAATTTGTTCTAGGTAGTTCTATCCTTCTTGGTTTTTAAAATCAGGGTTGTTCTATCAATTTCTGAGAGAGCTATTCAATTTTCTAGACACGAGAAAAAATTTCAACTCTCTTATTTTTGTCAGTTTTTGCTTTATATAATTTTCAACTTTAATTAGGTGCATAAAGTGTCATTGTATCTTTCAGATGGGCTGACCTTTTTATCATCATGAATTTTGAATTTTTTTCCTAATTAGCTTCTGGATGCCAGAGTATATGATGGGTCAAGAACATGACATTTCAAATTTTTCAATAATCATAACTCAAATAATTTATAACTCTAAAATAATTCATTTTTATTTAATCACCTTTTATCTTATTAACCAATTGGTTTTTTCCCCACAATTGCTTAAGTGTGCTTTAGACCATTCCTGGATTGACAGTAAAAGGGAGCACATGACAAATTCTTAGTTTTAGAGCATGGGCTGCACAATCCTGAGTCCAGCCTGGTGGTGATGAAATGAAGCCCACTGCTAAGAGCGTAAATGAAGAAGAAACTCAGTAATAAGAGAGCGTGGACCAACTAGTTAGATGCCCTAATCAGCAACTCTCATTCCACTTTCAAAACCTTGGAGATTTTGTGTGTTTTTTAAATAAGTGAAGTGAATCAAATGGTG